ATATCGCGGCTATCTGTCGACCGTGACTGAAAACTTTGCTCCCATTTGTGTTGTTTTGAGCACACATTTGTACCTTGGTCGGAGCCACAAGGAGACATAGCAGACTGTGATCAACATTCCCAGCACAATGGTAAAGGGGATGATAACGACAGCGTGGAGTGTGAAGTGTTTTCATGACGGCGTGATAGGAGGATATAGGACATGTGAAAAGGCCAGGGCAGAAGGGGAGATAGCACAACTGTTTAGCACACGTTCGGTCAAAGGTTCGGCTAAGCGTGGCGAAACTCACTGACGATGCCGAATACGATGCCACGTCGACTGTCCCACTCTGGAAATGATGATGCATACAATGGACTCCGGGCTGGGTGCGTTCTTCTAAGTCTTCATACCAACAAGGTCAAACAACTTCTATGCAACGAAAGGAGACTGCCACCAAACCAACGGCCACACCATTCTGGTCTTCATTTTTTTAATTCAATGTTCAGAATGAGTTTTTACTCCGAATGACTATATCCGTCAACATGAAAAGAAATAGTATTTTCCCAAACTGTGGCAGTACAACGCGATTCAACCATCGGCTTCCGATGACATTGCACACAATATGGCACAAAATTAAAGTTTCAACAACTTGCGCATTACTGTGTAAATTTGTTCACTTTCAAATTGCTCTTTTTGCCAACGTGACCTCGATGAAGACACCATATCTGCCACGTCACCAATCCGATTAGTTGCCCTGGAAACAGGCGAAATCAATGGTATCGAACAGAATGAGGCATAGCTAAAAATAGCTGTTAATTAGACGCGCTGTTCTACGACACCAGAGTCGCCACAACATCGTACATGTCAAACGCCGTATGCCAACCAATTAGTGACCACAATACAGCAGACCTCAACGGATAGACGACCGGCTGTATTGATACAGCTTTCCGCAGCAAGACCTGCTTTTGCCAGCCTCTTCTGTGGCTGTTACTAGTTCGAACGGTTATCCCATTTCACATCACAAGACGATGACGCATTTCTCTTTGCAAGTGATAGTGTCCACGCGAAAACTCGGTCCGTCTCGGAGACCATGTCACCAAGACTGTCGCGGGGAATCCGTCGTCATCTTTTGGTGCGATTGACCTACACACACCCTCTCTAATCCACCACTTTGGCGGCAGTTGTAAGAGATTGCTGGAAGAGGAACTGATATTTGCTGTAGCCTGCACACGCGTCTGGCCAACTCGGCCGTTTTACGCCCATCCGACATGCCCACTCGAGCAGGGGGTTAAGATGAATTGGCGTCAACTTACGCTCTGTCACGATGGGCAACAAAGTGCCGGGTCCCCAGAGGGGTCCTTGCGTGAGTCCGATCTCGTTGGTCAGTTGTGGACTGTCCAGTTTCGCCTCTGTCGGCTTGCGCCGGCCCCTCCGACCGCCGGCGCTGGGCGACGACGACTCCGCGGCCGCCGGCGTCTCGGTCTCTCCGCAGCCCAGCATCGATTGGCTCGTCTGGCTCGAGTCCCGGCGTCTCGGGCTCTCCAACCCGGCTGTCGGCGACTCGATCGTGTCAGCTTCGTTCGTCCGCCTCGTCCGTTCTGTCGTCTCGACGACGGGACTCGAACTCTGGCCTGTCGTCTGCAGACTCTGGCGCCAGCCGACCGCCAACATGTCCTCGGCCGCCTGCTGCCGTTTCAGAGCAACTTGGGCCGCCATCACGCGTTGTCGTTCCACAATCAACAGACACTGCGCACACCGACAATCGCGATAGGCGCAGACGCGCTTGTGACCTTTGACCCAGGCCACGAGGCCATGGTTACGGCAACGAGCACATTTGGGCCTTCGGCCTGCCTGCGACGAGGCCGACACCTCGTCGCCGGTCTCGTCGTTGCCGACAGACGATGCCATTGGACCGGCTGGCGTTTTCGCGCCCACCGCCTCGACAACTCGTCGAGCTGACTGTTGCCGTGCCGACTTGAGCATTCGAGCTAACAGACGAGCCGTGG